GTGGGGTGGAAAGGGTGCAAATGTTAAGGCATAAAAATCAGCTTTCTTGGAGTTTGCAAAGTGATGAACGTCAGTGCTGCGTTGGTCTTCAGGGCATGGGCAGCTACAGCTGGCCAGTCCTTGTGTCAGCATTGGTCAGCCTGTATTTCCCCATACGCCATGGGAGGCAACGGCCATAGAGAGGAGCTTTGCCTGGGTAGCAGACCAGACTGTGGCACTACACCTCGGTACTGAGAGAAACCGCTGCATAACAGGGGGCATCAGACTCCAGCTGTGGATTCCTGTGTTGCGGGGCAAAAATCCTCCTGGGTATTTGGTTATACAGAATTACATGGTTGGGTTCCTGTGGTGAATTGCAACAAAGTGGAGTCAGAGAACTGATGTTTCTCATGACTGTTGTGACCTCTCCAGTGTATTCTACGTTCTTTGTAACCGAGTGCCTAAGGAATACCCGACTATCACGTGATCCAGCCTAGGCTGACTATTTTTGTGTGTAGACTGAGAAAGCTATTTCCTACATTTGGTAAAGGCCCAAGTACCAGACACTGGTGGAGCAAGTAGACAGCAAACATATTGCTGCTGAGGGAAATCATGGCAAAAAGAAAACAAGTAGCATATTGTCATCCCATGTGCATTCTCATCCTGTAGGTGCATGGTTTGAGTCCCCAAGTATGTCCCCCATTGCCTTCTTAGATGAGTTTTTGCCATCCCTTCCTCACAAAGCTGCACACAGGGAAGAGGAAGCAGACCTAAATCCATCACAAAGACCAGGGAGACCCTAAAGCGCCCTTCAAGTTCTGTCTAGTTACGTATTTGTTTCACTAAGGAAGGTGGTAACCTCTAGGCCTGTTGAATCCTGCTGCTAATGGCAGTCAATCCATTGACAGGACGAATGAAAGTGGCACCATTCGCCCCACTGTGAAGTAGCAACTTCACTGCTTCTGCATTTTCTAAGAATAGATGCCACTTCTAGCAATGTGTCTGCAACTTCTCACTGCTGGCTGCCAGATGGTAGGAACCAGCAGACTCCGAGTTCGTTCCCCTGTGGTGAAGCAAACTGCCATACGGCCCGACGCACATTGCCTGAAAGATCCCCAGGACAGCCCTGCTACTTCTGTTAATGTTTCCCAAGCTCCTGGTACAACATTGAGGTTTTCCACTGGAACCACCTGGCACAGTTTCAGAGTCTTCCATGAGCAACTAAGTTACTTAATCCTCATCTTATTTAGTCAAAGCCTTTGTATTGGTCACTTGTTCTGAGAGCCTGTGGGCTGTGTCCTGTACTTGAGCTAATTGCATAAAAAGGATTATTTCCTTTTCTTGATGCTTGTTATTATTTTTATCCCTCACGAGCCATTTCTTCTGTTTCAGGATCAACACTCTGTGGTAGGCCAGGGAGCTGGCCCCACTCCAAGCTCCAGTTCTTGCTCAAATCCAAACACTGGAAGTGGTTACATGAACTCATCCCAGCAATCAATGTTGAATCAGCAACTGATGGAAAAGAAACAGGCTCTGCAACGGCAAATGATGGAGCAAAAACAACTCCTTCTACAGCAGCAGATGTTGGCAGAAGCCGTAAGTTTTCCAATTCCTTATTCTTACATGGAAAAAGACTATCATAGAAACAACAGGAAAGAAAGCTAAGACAGGGACAAGAAAGCCCCCAAAACTTTGAGATCATTTTGGCAATGCCTAGACCTTCTAGAATGTGCCTTATAGTTTTCAGCACTTTGCTAAGCCCTTTTGAAACTTTCTTCAGTTTATATGAAGCAACTCGAGTATCCAAGCTACTGTGGTTTCGTTATGAGAACAGTCTAAGCACATGCTTAATTTGAGGCATATGAATATTGTCAGCGGTTTTTTCTTTGCAAGAAGAGCAAAGGTGCACTGCTATGCTACTTCAACCAGAGAGCAAAGCAGACTTCTAGGCTCTGCAACCTAGGCAGCATGGCACAAAGTGCCCGTGTGTAAACAAAGATCAGGTACTTCAATTTTAGCATTCAACACAAGTTTGTGTGCTTTGGGAGTTTCTGGTAATTTTATGAGGAGTGGGAAGATATTTGTGCTCTTGTTGGCAGTGCTAAAGGCTAGAACCTCCTAGTTTAGTTCCACTAAACTCTCATTGCCATTGTCATTGCATGGACTGAGTCAGCTGAAGGTGCTTCATGGCTTGTGACCCATGGCCAGTGCAACAACTGGGAATCCCAGCTGCCCAGAGCAGTAGCATGTGCCCTCTGCATCCTCCTATTCACCGTTGCTTGGTAGTCTTGCTTGCCAAAGCATGGAGGGGGGTTCTGAAGAGAAGCTGAGTTTGGCATGTCCTTGAGGCAGGCAGAAAGCAATGTGGGCGCACTGTGGCAACAAGAAAAGGGCTGCAGGAAAGATGCTGGTGAAGGATGGAGGTGACACCACCACCTGCTTTGCTTCCCTCAGGCTGCAATGACAGCAGACCCCAAGTCTGTGGCTGATTTGTCTCAACCCGGATCTCTCAGCCTACAGGGCAGCCTCCTTCATCCTAGCCTGATATTTTGAATCCAAAACTTTCTTTTCTCTAGACTCAAATACCAACAAATATAGTGAATGCTGTTCAGTAATTAAAGAACAACACAGAACTGGAAAAACAGTCATGGTTTTGTGGGGATGTTTTCAAAACAAAAATTATTCTTTTTTTTTAGAGAGAATATATTTTTGTTTAAAAATTCATTTCCATTCAAAAAATAGTTAGAAAGCTCGAGTTTGAAATTAAGGATTTCATTTGTCCTATAAGGGAAATATTTGTTGGCTTTTTAATTTATGAAGAAGAAAACTTATGTTTCAAGTCAGCTCTATGTGCTGCAGTTTTCTGCCAGAATTTTGGCAGAATTAAAAGTTACTTGCTTAAATAGTTCTTCTTAAAAATAAATAAAATAGAAATTAAAATTACTTTACAGAATGGGGTTTTTTTCATCAGCTTGTCTTTGCTTTTGTATCATGCACACAGAAATATACACAAAGCCTGCCTATGTTTTTTACATGTATTGGAGGGATTTCCTGGGACATAACTTGTCTTTCTTCTTCATAAGGGTTCAGGTCTAGTGGTACCTTTAAATGAGACTTATAAATCCTAATCAGACCCCTCACTCCCAGAGTGCATTACAGAAATGCCTATAACAGCTCTTCTGCCAGTGTTTTAAAGTGCTCCTGGCAGAAGAAAAAACATATTTTTCACAGTAAGGTCCATTTGCATGCTCCTTTCAGGCAGAAGATCCCCAAATTACTCAGATGGGATGGACCAGCCAGGGCTTGACTCTTTCACACTGAGGAACCAGTTTGCCATTTTGGCAACTGAGCATGGAACCCAGACCTGTTGCAGAGAAGGTGTGAAGTCTGCCCAGTAGCTGCCCAGTAAGCACCACTCTGGGAAGCACATGTGCCTGACAGTGACTCACCAGTGACTGAGGTGGTCAAACCCACATTTTCCTGCTATGGGGCCACATATTCCTAGGAGTCATTGCTCATGGGTGAGCAGTAGCACTTTGGAGGCATCAAGTCCCACCGATGCTGATGCAAGATTTGGCTTTGAGTCCAGTGCCTGTGCGTTCCAGATCTTTATGAACCCAGGGCACTTAGTGCAGTTTCAGTTTAAGGGCTTGGATTTCTATCTTCCCTTCACCAGAGATGTGTCCCTGCAGACCTAAAATAAAAAAAATGTCCCCTATTAATCAGCTTTTTCTGCAATCTTTCCCTGCTGTCCTTCCCCTGGTGCTTGCACTCCCAGTGTAAGAGGAAAGACAACACCATGTACGTGCCCGGGGAAGCACAGGGCAGTAGTGAGTGGTATGACAACCAACCGGCTGGTGGAGATGACAAGCTGAAATCTTCTTTTGCCAGCTGTGCAGTGGGTGAAATGGAGTGACGACCACCAACATAGCCAAAGAGCAGATGTTGGGCTTGCAGGTCTGGGCCCTTGTTGTTTCCCAGCTGCACCTCAGCTGCGTGTTTAGGTCAAATCTGGGTACTTGCTCTGTTTCTGGGCTTTTTCTGAAAGCAAACCCAGCTGCACAGATAGGGAGGGAGCCATGAGGAGTCAGGCCCTTCTGTCCAGTAAGCGTGGTGAGCAAGATGGTGCAGACATGGGAAGACACTTTGTACTGCAGTGCAGACATGGCCAATGTTCTCAGAGGATGAGAAACTCTCAGTGGTTTTAAGGAAAGTCAGGCCAGACTCAAACACAATACAACCAGTAGAAAGGCTTCAATACAGTGGGTGGTGGCACAGATTTGCAGATGCCTCTGCTGTGGACCAGACAGGGTGAAAGGAAGGAACACTTCAGCTTTGTATATACTGAAAAAAGAAAGAGGTGGGCAAACCACAGAGCCAGGAAAGCAAAAAGAAAAGCAAATTAATAAACTTCTACTCCAATCCTCTAGGAGAAAATAACTCCACAAGATCAGCTGAACAGACACTTGACACGGCCACCACCAGATTATAAAGACCAAAGAAGGAACGTGGTCAACATGCAACAAGGAAACCAATATCCTGGTAAGTGCCCCTGGGTGAAATGAAACTGTTTGCTTCCTTCCAGCTGGAAGACCACCCAGAAGAGTCATGTATGCACTGATGACTGTGGCCTGATTTTCTGGGTGTCCACTTAAATCACCACAGGGGTAGGGGGGGTGTCTGCTGCTCTCCTGTGCTATTTACCTTATTGTCCCCTACCACTGAGAAGTGTTGAGGTATGAGCTAGAGAACCAGCCAGTGGTTCATCAAGGCGGATGCTGCATCTCTCAGACATCAGGAAGGAGAAGCTGGTACCCCTCCCATTAGTACTGCCTGGGACAGATGTGCACCCAAATACCTGACACAGAGGTGTCCTCTTGATTAGGTAACCTCGCTCCATCCAGATGCTGCTCTTATGTACATGGCACATCTTGCTTCAGAGACTGAGGTGTGAACCATCCCTCCCTTCGAATGGCAGCTCGTACAGTGTGAGGACCCTCACACTGATTTTTAAGTACCTCACGACACCATCATGGGGAACCAGAGCTACCATCTGAACTTTTGGTCTGTTTAATATGTCACAGTCAGGGCCTCAGTGCTACTCCATAAGCAGCACCTGAACAGATGAGTCAAACAGTAGGATCAAAACCCTGTTATCTGCCACAACAGCTCAGGGCAGAATTTTCTCAACACTTCAGGATTAGTCCTTTGTTTCAGCTCTTGTGCCCTCACCTTCTTGGAGAGTCTAGTTTTGGGAGCACAGGACTGCCTGTTTGGCTTTTTAGGTTGATCACCTTGCTGATTATTTGGCAGCTGCTCTGTGAGCAAAGGCAGAGTAAGGAAAAGATGCTGGGGAGAGAAAGGAGGTGGGGGGGAATGCAGCAGAGGGGATCAAAGAATGTTCTTTATACTGTGAAGCATCTGTGCATTTGAGTATAAAAAGGATCTTTTGCCTTCTAGTGTATCTTTGTATACAACACACTGAGGGGGGAAAAAAAAGAATGTTTTGTTTGTTTTTCTGTTAAGTGTTGGCTCTGCGGATTCAGCCAGGGATCTCAGTCTTTCCTTTCTATCTGTCCTTTGTAGCAAAACTTTTTCAGCTTCTATTATGATTTTAATGAGTCCCCAAGTACAGCTCACTCATAGAGCACACAAATCCTGTGCCCAACCTCCTGGCCATGGCACCAACAGCCCAGCTACACGTGGAAGGACCAGGTTGCCCTGCTCAGGCAGTGTTCCTGCACTCCCTCACTTTGTTTACAAGTTCTAGCCGCGATAAGCTTGCCGCAGCTTGGAAACTGCTGCTTTCTAAGGGGCCTGAGTATTTATCATCTTCAGTACATTTGCACAAGCATCACTGATGCCAGCGTAATAACCCAGAGTGAGGGCAATGTCACAGGGCAGAGAGCGCTGCTTGCTGGCTTGGTACCTCCTGTGCTCGCAGAAAAAATGCTTTGGCAACCCCGGCAGTTTGCTGGGGAATCCAGTGATTTGGTGTGTTTGTTTAAAGGCTCGTTCCTGGAATGAAATGATTAACTGAGATTCTTGGCTTTTAGTTAAAAACAGTCAGTTTCTAGCCGGAGAGAGAAAATGGAAACAACTGCAGCCACATCTGTGAAAGGCTCCAAAATAAGTGGATCGCCATTGTTATGTGGCATTTCTTGTTCTTCTTAATCTGATGGAGTCTTTGCCAGTCTTGCGGTATTTGGAGTCCCATCTCCTGGGTTTGAAGCATGTGGGATTGGCAGCACTTGTCCATTCAAATCTCAAGTCCCCACTGAGTGAGCGCAGGGAGGAAAGCAGCTTGTCAGGCGAGCCTGGGCAAAAGGGCTGCACCAGGAGCTTGCAGCAAAGCTACCAGATGGAGCGATTAGCAAATTCTTGCATCAGGGAGTAACAGCAGGGAATCTGTTCCCTTTTTCTCGGAATGGCTTTGCTCAGGTCAGGGAAGAACAGATGAAAAGTTAAAGAAAATAACATAGGGGCTTGGAGACACTTGGTTAAGTATTTTATTCCTCCATGCTTTTCCCCATAGTGCCATGTAATGGTAAGAAAACCCCAGGACAAAAGCAGGTGAAATGGGCAATGAAGGCATTTCTCCAAATCACCATAGCCTGGGGTGCCCAGCAACTGCACACAGCACTGTCGGGGAAGACATTTCTTCTCATCTGGAAGAAATCAGAATGGAAAATATTTGTGTTAAAAATAAAAAGGACAAAAATAGTAATACAAAGAGGAAGCTTCATCTTTTGCACAACAAGTACAACCCATGTCCCAGCCACTTGTGCTCTTTAAAGTGGCATTTGCAGGAGCAGTGTGATGGTAGCGCTGGGGGCGGCTCAACCACTGGCAGGGTCACCCCAGGAGGGACTTCATCACAAAAGCAAGTGAAGAGACTCCACAAACTGGTGGTTCAGCTGCAGGGAGAGAACCAGCTCTGCTCAGATGGCTGTTTCAAGTCTTTTGAAATGCCACTGATTTCTGTGCCGTTAACTCCCCTTTTGTACCAGCATAAGGAAGCAAAGAATCAGGGCTCCCATCTCTGTCACCCCTGCAAAAAGATGTTACAGTACTTCCAAAAAGCAGTGAGCAATGCACAACCCACTAGCAAAGCCAAAGGTGGGGCTAATCATGAGGTTGCCTGCTGAGTGCTGATTCTCTCCTGTTTGTTTCCAGGGCTAAATTCAATTAGGAGGCTCTCTAGGAGCACATGGAGGAGAATCTGATTGTCCCTGTGGAGGTAAAACCAGGTAGACTCCTCACAGCATCTCCTGTCCCAGGGACTGCCCAGCTCAGGGCCTGCACTTAGGTGCTTAATTTTCAATGCAATAGTTAGGAGAGTTAGATTCTCTACAGTCACAGAATGGCACAGGCTGGAAGGAACCTTAGAGATCTTCTAATCCAACCTCCCTGTCATGGGTAGGGACGCCTCTCAGCTAGATCAGGCTACTCAAGGCTAGTCAAGTGTCTCCTCCTTAAAGCTGATTTGTAGAGAAGTGTCAAGGGTTAGGGCTGGGCCGGCCACTGAACACCGACAGATGCTCTCTGACCCCTTTCCCTCCCCAAAAAAGAAGGGAAAGGGAATAAGGCAGAGAAACTTACAGACTGGAAAAGAAAACTAAAACAGTTTTAATAAGCAGTAATAGGACTAATAAGGAAATTATGAAAATAATGAACTATATATGAATATATATATAAAACCGACATCAAATCCAACTCCCCTCCGACAGCAATCCCCACTGGTGCTGCAGAGCAAGTGGCACTGGGGAAGTCACAGCAGCAGAGGGGAAGTGGGTATAGGAGCTGGTCTTGTGAACTCAGGATTTGGATCAAAGACAGAAGAAAGGACAAAGTCTGGCCAGGAGCAGAACAGCAAGAGAGCTTAACCCCCATGATGTCAATAATGATTTGAGAAGATATTATTTTTAAGTACTTAAGGAAAAAAGGAATCCTTTGCATCCATTACTAAATGGAAATAGCGTATATATAAAAATAATGCAGAAAGGGCAGAACTGTATAATAAGTTTTTCCTTTATTTTAGTCTGAGGGAACAGAACATCTTTATGGTGGAATTTCAGCATGAACTGTATATTAAACAGCTGTTCCTAAACAAAGAGTGATGATGGTGCCCATCCCTCCTCATTGTCTCTAGAGGGAGCCAGGATGGGCCATGCCCTATAAGGAAGAAAAGTTCATCTCCTCTGCCTCTGCTCAGTCAGGCTTTGTCCTGTCCCAGGTGTCTAGTGGTTCTGTGAAAAAAAAGGCAGAAAAGTCTTCTCTCCTGCCCACTGGTTTGTCATTCCCTGCTCCAATGTTTCTTTTACTGCTTTTTGCTTATCTGATGTCTTCTGAAGGGAAGGAAAGACCACTAATGGTTTCATATAAACCAAACCACTCTTTGCAGGACAGGCATCTTTAAGGCCTTCAAGGAGTTCATGCAAATCCTCTTAAGAGCAAAGTATCTTCTTCAAGAAATTCGGCTGCTAGAAAATTGGATTTTTAACCTGTTGATATTTGAATGACACCACACAGTGATGCACTCGTGTTTAACACTTTTGTTTTCTCATTTCCAGGTGGTTCACCAGCTGTGAGTATAAGCTCCAACAACATGTCCTTATCCAACCCAATTTCAACTCACAGCATCATGCCCCAGAGCTCCAGCCTCATGTCCACCGCCACAGGGACCCGAATGCCTTCTGTTCCTGCCGCTCGGAGTATGGGCTGCTACGGCAACCTTCCTTGCAACCAACCAAACACATACAATGTGACTTCAGGAATGAACCAAATGCAGCCTCACAGAAACCAAAATCAAGTCCTGCCCAGTCAGAATAACGCCATGATGTCTCGACAGCAAACCATGACGCAGGGAAACAATGCGGCGGCTTTTGGGACGGCATCAGTGGTCAACTCACAGCAAGTAAGGCCAAGCTTGAACCACGGAGCCACAGGTATCCCCACACAGAGGCCGGCCAACGTGATGATCACAGCTACTGCCACTGCCCAGAACTGGGCCCCGCAAGAACCTGCGGTGAAGCAGCAGGATGCACTGAAACCCACAGGGGTCCGCTTCCCCACCAGCACTCCATATCCTAACCAGTCTTTGCAACGCAGTGTAGGCAACCAGCATTTTCCTCAGCGTGCATTGGCACCTCCTAGTCAGTTAACAGCGGGAGTCCAGCTGAGGCCTCCTCTGAACCAAATGCACCAGACTCTGAACGGGCAGTCTGCTGGCTCACTGCGAGCACACGGCATAAGACCTAACCAGCTGAGAGGACAGACCATGCCTACCATGAATCAGCCAGGAACAAGCATGACACCTCCTTCATCTCTGCCATCAACCAGTTTCACATCTACCAACCAAAACTCTCGCGCTTACCAAGGAAACGATCATGGTAATGACCTAGCGTTTGACTTTCTGAACCAGCAAGGTGACAGTATAGGACCTGCGCTCAACAGTGACTCAGACTTTATAGATTCTTTACTGAAAACAGAACCTGGTAACGATGACTGGATGAAAGACATCAACCTCGATGAAATTTTGGGGAACCACTCGTAAGTGACATACCAAGGGTGAACCAGACGAAGAGGCAGAAGGGACATATGCTTTCTCTTTAGATGCCAACAACCGGCTTTATTAATTTACACTCCAGTAACCAGGCTGTCCTTTCAGATGCCACACATGGCAACTGCCCTGTTTGAAGAGTTGCTCTAGGAACAAAACTGAAGTCTCCCCCGATGAAATGATGACATAAGCGATAATCATGCCTGCCACAGAGAAGTGAGGATGCATGAAGGGTCTGTTCCACACACCGGTGCCCAGTGCGTTGCAAACCATCAGTCCTGCTCATGGGGGCTGCATGGTGAAATGTGTTTGGCCTCCCACACACTGGACAGTGGTATGGGTTGTGGAACATCATTTATTTGAGTGCAAGTAAAAGCCCAAACAGTCCAGAGCTCTCCAGTCATTGTGTTTGCAGCCTTTAACTTCCTTGGGACTACTCAGCCCTGACAGCATCAGGCCCTGTGTAAATCTCATTGCATTACAAAAACTGTTTACTTCTACGCAGCACAAACATTTGTTTTCCCAGTGATTTTGGTTTAAACGCTCTATGTTTTGTAGCACACAAAAGGGTAAGTGGTCTTGTCCAAGAGAAGACGGAAATGGATCATCCAGTGTGTTACTCAGTGTGCTTTAGAATTGTTTTCTTGCCTTCATCAGCGCTTGCCACAGGTATCAAAGGACGGTACTGACCTGCCAGCAGCACAATCATTTTGGGCATTGAGGGAAACATGAGATGAACTAAAGCTCAGGATCCTCACTTTGCCACCTTGCTCTACCCTAGAGACTCCAGTGACTTAATGGACAACTGAAGTGAGAAGGGTGCTCACGATTTGACTCTCACCAACTACTTTTCCAGTCCTACTCAGAGGAGGGCAGATGCATGAAGTGGCTACGCTAAGCCACTGTCCTCATTTTCATCTTAACACATGTTAAGAGTGTCAGGTATTTCTGCCCGGTCCTCTTCTATCGAACAGATATATCCTAGCACAAATGCCAGCACTTCTGCCTGGGGAGAGGCTACCATTCTGATTGCACGGCATTTTGGCTCGATTGCTCTTTCTCTTTGCCATATGGGGAGAGTTGAAAGAGGTCCAGTGATGGCCCAGGTCCCTACAGGTTCCCCATAGCTCTGCCCCTGGAACTAGCATGCAGATCAGTTATAGCCACCTGAGTTACTCACAGCAGGAGGCTCTACTCAGCCACATCTGTGCTTGTAAATGAAACAGTGTTGGGCAATATTTCTGTGCACTGGCCTCAATCATTGCCCTGAGCAATTTCTAGGGAGTTAACCTGGAGCAAGGACCATTCCCACAAACAGTCTGCAGCCACTTTGCCTTGGAGGCTAACAGAGCAGATCAGTAAAAGGATATAAGTCGTTCCACAATGTTTGACCTTGGTGGGAATAGTCTTGATCATGTTAAATTCTCTTTGATAGACTTGGTCAGTAAGGGCATCAGAAGGAGGTGCTATGTCACTATAAAGCAGCTCCACAGTGAGTCAGACAGGAGGATTCATAGATGGGAACAGATCTTGCAATTCAAATGAAAAGGCTGTTCTTCAAAATGATGTGGTGCGACATGTTTCACAGCCTCCTCGAATTAGCTAAAACTAGATGTGGCAAAGGAATACAATGCCTATGTTCACATGTCTTGGTGCCAAGAGGCATTGCTGTGCCCCATGCAAGTGCTTTATTCATCCTTGTTAGTGGCAGCGGGATGAGTAGACTACTTGACAATAGCCTCTGCACTTATCTGACCTATTTCTCAAGAGAGGTTTTAATAAGGCTTTTCCAGTCATTTCATCCTGTCATTTCACGTGGGCGCAATTTTTCATGATGTTTCAAGAAGCGTTGTCACACAAATGAGCACCAGCACCTCCAGGAAAGGTGCAATGTAGGCAGTTAGCCAGATATGCCAGTTGAGGCGGGCTGATTCATGAGTCTTTTCATTCCCAGAAATGTTTTTCATAAGAGGGATGAGAGACCCTGCTAAAGCGTCCCTTCTGTGGCCCCAGCTAGTGATCATTGCACACCCCTGCATTGTGTAACGTGGTTCATCAGCTGCCCAGAAAGCTCCTTCTTGTCCCCAGTTTTGGCTAGGGTGCAAGTCGTCCCTTTGACATGCCAGTACAAATATTTTGAAGAGCTTTTTAGACCAGGTCGCTGGCTCCCCACCTAAGTTTGGAGAGATATGGACATGGTCTAACAAATGAGTCCCCTAAAAATTGTGCAAAACTAGACTGAAATGGTAGCTACACAAGTTTAAAGCAGAAGGAAGATGGGCTTATCTGTCTCATGAGCAGGTCAGCAGTGACTGGTGAAGCTCTGGTAGGAACAGACGACTGTGATGTCACTAAGGCTGAGTTAGTTTCATCGTGAGCAATGGGCACTGAAGACCAGTAAGTTCAATTATGCTCGCAGGCCGTTGAAACAGCCACCACTGATCTCTGTATTAAGACCAGACTGTTTTCCAAGATCCCCAAATGATGTAAAAAAATTGTTCAGCTGAGGAGCTGATCCCAAGACTTCAGGATATCATCCAGTGGTGGATTGAAGACTGAGCTTTGACCCATTGGCCGCAGCCTGGAGTGGAGAAGCTGCTGGGCTGAGCGCCATCCTCGGGGTCGAAATTTCTTCCTGTCTTAATTCAACCAAGGTAGAGGCCATTTGCAGTCCTGTACAGAGATACCTGATGCATTTGAAATGTGAGCTTGTGAAAGACTCTTGCAACCAAAACTTGAATCCAATATCATTTCTTCAGAACACTTGCATCTGAACAGAGCTAGTGTCTATTTTCTCTTTGCAATGGCTAAGTGCACTACCCTTATAGTCTTTTTTTTCATCGTTGACCGGGCACTCTTCACAGTATTGGATTGTAAATATAAAGAATTATTTGTTTTGTAAACTTTTGTAAAAAACAAAAACAAAAAGTAATAATATTTTGGTAGGAATAATAAAAATCATATTATTTGGGTTATATTTATACATATGTGAAATAAATATACTATCAAAAAGTTGTATTTTATACAAAAAGTCAACGGTTACCTTTTGTATTCTATATACAAAGTTTTGTATGATATGATTGTTTATTTTTATCTGCAGATTTCAACTTTGGATTTTAGGGGAGGGCAGAATGGGATCGTGGTTAAATAGCTGGGTCTGACCCCAAGCTCACTGAAACCAATGGAGTCTTTCCATTGCCTTCACAGGGCTTTGAAATAAGCCTTTAAATCACCTTCAGATATGCTTGACATCTGAAGCTCTCTGGAAACCTCAACATGAAAACATTCCAGGTTTCAAGTTTTTTCCTGCAAAAGGCTTTTATTATAATTATTATTATTATTGTTATTATTGTAACTCTTGGGCGGCAGGTGGGACCTATGTAACTGTCATGTCCTTGTTGCATGTATGTCTGCTTTATATTTTCCCCATATTATAAACCAGTGTTTCTCTATACAGACTGAAAGGAAAATTTGCTGTACAGAAATGTTTGTGTTTATGCATTTTTACATGTGGCTGTATATACCTCCTAGTACTATGCAGTGACACTTATTTGACTCCATTTATTTTTCACCTAAACATGAATAGTATGTTTTTCAGTAGCTATCAAAACTCTGCCAAGTAAATCAATCAAAATTATCCCAAGTGTCTCTTTTCTTAATATGAATCTTATAATGAATGTCTGTTTAGTCAACTGCTCGTTCATCTGAGTAAATTAAAATGACAGTGATATTTTAGGAGGGGATGAGGAAAATGTGCATCTGGCAGCTTCTGGGAGCTCAAGGCTGCCTCTTTGCCAGAGAGCTGTGATGTTTCCCTACTGACTGAAGACACAGTTTCATTACCAGCAAGGGTTAACAAATAGCACATGGTATTTTAGCTCCTGCTGAGTGGGTTGGTGCAGTCTTGCAGCACAGGGATTTTCTCTGGGATCCTGCAAGCAGGGAGCTAGGTAACCCATGAGCTCGGCAGCCCAAGAAGGCTGGCCAGATCTCCAAGCCCATACTCTGCCCTGGATCGTGCCCTGGAGATATCTGCCCCTCTCTCCCCACTACCAGAGACCTCAAAGAGATGCCAGAAATCAGGCAAATCTCTCCCTCCCTGCCTCGCATTACACCTCATTTTAGCCTAAAAGAATTCTAGTGTGTAAGATTACGTTGGGCTCCGGATTGTTTCACACAAGTATTCATCCCTGCCAGGCTACTTTTAGCAGTCCCCAAGTGGGTGGCTCTTCCAGACCCATGAACTGAGCAGCAAGGGGTGATGAAGGGGATGTTTCAAAGGGACAAATGTCAGCTGCCCATGCTCAAAGGCTACAGTGTGATACTTCCCTGCACCTTAACTGATCACTGCTGTTGGTGATGCTCAGAGACCACCATGAACACACATCCACCCTTTTATAAAGTCCCCTTTCACTCACCTTCCCCCACAGGAAAGTGAGGAGACACCTTTCTTGGCCATCCCCTGCAACTCCAGCTCTGTTGGCTGCTAACCTCCCAAATTTTTGCCAGTTGCAGCGCAGTCCCCTGGTTATATGACTCTTACCCACAAACAGCTCCCATGTCCTACCATGGACACAGGGAGAGACGGGGAGGGATGCTGGCGTGTGCCCTGTGCCCCTTGAGCTCGCGTGGAGCCCCTGGTGGGGTGCCCAGGGTCCCCATTCTGGCTGGAGGTGCTGAAGTGAGGAAGTGCCCAGGAGGTGTGTGGCTCTCTCCTTGCTTCAACATCTCCAGCACAGGTGGCAGAGGGTGCTTCCTTCACACTGAGGGGTGGAAAATAGGGCCCAGTCTCACTCATGCAAGAGTACCTCTGAAATAGGTCAAGAACTTATGCCCTAAAGGTGCAATTTTGTGTAACGTGGCTGTAAAGGCAGAAGACAGGGCAGGTGGCATGGGGAAGCCTCAGGCAGGGCTGCTGCCTGGCTGAAGAAGCTATTTCTGTAGCAGTGAGCTGAAAACCAGCCAGGGACCCTTCCCAGGTCCTGAAGTGCATT